TGTCGCCACTGTAGCGTTGTCGGCATTTTTTAATATTTGATCACTACTTAAATAAAATCATTTTAAAAATTTGCTCGACTTTTGAATATTATTAAAACAGTTTGAGTTTTTAAGCATAAATATTTTTAAAATAATTAGACCAACCAAAAAAACTTCTTTCCAATAGTGAACTGGGAACTAACGTGCTTATTGGTTGCTAGAGTAATTGAAATATTGTTTGAAGTTCTTACCATTTTCAAAAATGTTCACTATTTTTTAAAAACTATTCATTTTCCAAAAAATATTGAAAATTCAAAAAAGACATGTTTTTCAAATTTTTAGAAAAAATCATGTTGAAAATTTTCTCGAGTTTTGAATTTTGTTCACCTTGAAAAAAGATAGCTTGAGTGTTTTGAAAATGCATACTTTTAGAAATGATCAAAATAAACCAACCAAGAAATCGGTTTTCAACAGTGAACTGGGAACTACAGTACCTATCACTACAGTGCCAACCTGCTAGCTTCGCTTATTTTGATCGTTCCAAAATTGGCCGGCCCAGTAGCACCGATTCCTGTGCCAAGTGTTGTCAAATTGATGCCTGCAAGTGTCATATAGGGGTTCTCGCCATGAGTGTGGTGCACGAATCTAAGTGTTGATCGTTCTAAGTGCCAATTTCAATATCTGGTCTGTTATCTTTTACTCATATTTCCATATATTTTATTTTTCATTTTATTTTTTCTTCTCTTTTTTCCTTACTTTTGTTCTCTTCATTTTTCTTTTCCTGTTTAATTTTGTTTCTATTGTCATAATTTCCAATTTTTATAAAACAAATCATAATTACAAAATTTATTTCAATTACAAAAAGTTTTAACTTCCAAATTTTCCCATATTTTTCCTAATTTTTTTACTCTTTCTAATTTTAAGAACATTCAAAATAATAATCACTTGATCAAACCTGAAAAAAAATTAAATGTCAACAACTGTTGAAATTTAAAGTAATTTCATAAAATTTGAAAAAATGTTTGTGTTTCAAAAATATGCGTTGTTTAAACAAATGTTCTTGTTTACAATAATTGTTCAAAAATTTGAAAATGTGTCCGCTTTATAATTTGAAAATTTGATCACTACTTATAATTTTGTTGGAAGTTTCCCCATTTTTTTAAAAAAATCCCTTTTTTGAAAAAAACCATAAATTCAAAAAAAGGCATTTTAAAATATCAGTTCATTGTTTAAAGAAATCCATGTTGAAAATTTCTGGAATTTTGAATATTGTTCAGATTTTAAATCAGTTTGAGTTTTTCCAAAATACATATTTTCAAAAATGATTGAATTATACCAACGAAAAAAACTTGTTTCGAACATTGAACTGGGAACGACCGTGCTTACCGATCGCTATAGTGACTGATATATCATTGGAAGTTCTTGCCATTCTTAAAAATATTCAGGTTTTCAAAAAAATTGTTCGAAAAATCAAAAAAGACATGCTATTTTAAATATTTGTACACTATTTAAAGAAAATCAGGTAAAAAATTTGCTTGAGTTTCGAATTTTGTTCACCTTTAAAAAGACAGTTTGAGTGTTTCAAAAATGCATATTTTTTGAAATGAGGGAATAAACCAACCAAGAAACTAGTTTCCAACAGAGAACTGCGAACTACAGTGCTTGACAGTCACTATAGTGCCAAACATGCTGGCTTCGCTTATTTCACTACGTCGCAAATTGGTCGGCCCAGCAGGACTGCTCCCTGTGCCAAGTTTCAACAAATTGATGTCTATAGGTTTCATACAGGAGGTCTCGCCGTGAGCGTGGTGCTCGAATCTATGTGCTGATCAATCTAACGATGGAGAAATCCATTAAAACCTTCCTAAATCTCAGTGGACTGCAATTTACCAAAACCCAATTAAATTGGGGTTAGAGTTTTAGTATACTCTATGCATAAGATAATAATCTCAACAGAAAACCATATTTCAAGTTCTTTTACCCCACTCCAAATGATTTTTTTATGCAGTTGATCATGCAAAAAAAAGCTTCAGTGGATCAATCACCATAAAATTCGATGGACCAATTCAATTTATGGTTTGTTATCTTTTACACATATTTCCATTTTTAATCATGGTTTTTGTTTTTCATGTTCGTTTTCTTCTTTCTTCCCTCTCATTTTTCTATTTTCTATTGATTTTTGTTTCTATTTTCAGAATGTCATATTTTTATAAAAAATTCATAATTACAAAATTTATTTCAATTATCTAAAAAAGTTGAACTTCCAAATTTTGTCATATTTTCCTATTCTTTGTATATTTCCAAATTTTCAAAAAAAACATGATTTGATGAAACTTCAAAAAATGTAAATCTCCATAAATGTTCGTATTTTAAAGTAATTTCATAAAATTTGAAAAATGCTTCTGTTTAGAAAAATATATGTTGTTTCAATGAATGTTCTTTTTTCAATAATTGTTCACAGATTCAAAAATGTGTGTGGTTTCAAATTTTATTGGAAGTTTCTCTAATTTTAAAAAATGTTCCCATTTTAGAAAAAATGTTCACTTTTTTTGGAAAAATCATAAATTCAAATAAAGTATTTTTTTCATATTTTTTCACTATTTAAAGAAAATCATGTTGAAATTTTGCTTTAATTTTGAATAATGTTCCCATTTAAAAACTATTTGACTTTTTTGAAAATACATATTTAAAAGAAGATCAAATAAAACCAACCAAAAACATTGGTTTTGAACATTGAACTGGGAACTACTGTGCTTACTGGTCGCTACAGTGACTGAAATATTGTTGGAAGTTCTTCCCATTTTGAAAATTGTTCACATTTTTCAAAAAACTGGTCACTATTTCAAACAATGTTCGGAAATTCAAAAAAGGACATGTTTTAAAGTATTTGTTCACTATTTAAAGAAAACCATTTCAAAAATTTGCTTCAATTTTGTTCACCTTTTAAAAAAGACAGTTTGAGTTTGTTGAGAATGCATATTTTCAGAAATGATCGATATAAACCACCTAAAAACCCGATTTCCAACAGTGAACTGGGAACTATAATCCCTATCAGTCAATACAGTACCAACCATGCTTGCTCCTTGTACCAAGTGTTGTCAAATTGACACCTGCAGGTGTCATATAGGAGGTCTCACCGTGAGCGTGGTGCTCGAATCTAAGTGCTGATTGATCTAATGGTGGACAACTCCACTAAAGCTTTGCTAAGTCTCAGTCGACTGAAATTTAGCAAAGCCCAGTTAAGAGAATAATCTCAATAGAAAACCATATATTCCAAGTTCTTTTACCCCACCCCAAAAGAACTTTTGATGCGGTTGATCATGCGAACCATAACATTCGACGGAGCAATTCAATTTCACACATCTCACGAATTACATTAAACACTAAGTGACCTCTCCAACATTTGAATAATATGCAGCTTCAATTAGTAACTAAGATCGTAATCGAATGATTCATTACGTCACGTTCATGGCGTCACGAACAAGCAGTGTGGGTGGAAAGGAGTGGATCGGCGATCAGCCTGTGGTGGTGGTGTTGGTGGCGGCGCACGGGGTGAAGTCGCATGGCAGCTTGGTCCGGCCGGCAGGCCCACCGCCGCCGGTGTTGGCGCGGCGGAAGCGGGCGCCCTCGATGAGCACGCGCTGGGCGGAGCTGAGGAGCGCGCCGTTGAGGTGGTCGAGGACGCTGGCGGTGGTGGGGTAGAGGAAGGGCGACCCCGGCGCGTTGTAGTAGGCGTTGAGCAGCGCCGCCGTGGCCTCCCGGAGCAGCGTGCGGTAGGGGTCGCCGCGGCCGTCGAGGGCCTCCCGCAGCGTCATGTCCGGCCCGTACCGCTGCGCCGCCAGCGGGCCGAACGCCATGGCCACCGTCGTGTTGGGCGTCACCACCTTCCAGTGGCACCGGTGCTCCGGCAACGTCCACTGGTCGTACGCGCACGCGCACGCGGAGCCGGAGCTTGAGCCGGAGCCCGAG